CTGTGGGGATAGGGGGTCTGAGTCCATGGATCAAGATTCACTTTAGCAGTGTTCTGGTGCCTGCTGAGTGTGCCCTTTGGTTGTGTTGTTTGTAGAGGTGGTTGAGTGGTGCTCTGGTATGGTCTAAATTCAGTCACCAGGTATGTTAGTTCTGGGACCTCTTGGGAGGGTATATGGTGCAGACCAAGGTCATCTATTGCCTGCCTGTGCCTAGCCTGGGGCCACTTGATATGAGCTACAAAGTGATCTTCAGTTGGTTGCTGCTTGTGCTGGTCTTGGAGGAGCCTGGGAGAAGCTTAGGTGCAAACTGAGGTGGGCTGAACTAGTGCTGGGATTGGGGCCACTTAGCAAGAGGTACTGGGTATGCTGAGGCCAGATGGTGCTTATTTTGGGTTTTTAAACCTTTGAAAGATTTTAGAAATTCCACAGCATGAGCCAAGACAGGTCATTTGTCTGGAAAAGCCACTTGAAGTGGTTTTGGTGGGAATTAGCAGGGCAGGCGACAGTGTTAACCATGTGGATGGAGACTTGGAGATGGCCCTGCTGCCGGCTCTGCAGGGAGGGCTCAGCAAAGGAACAGTGGCCTCTGCTAGTACTTCTGTCTGGGAGAAAGCTGCCCCTACAACCCTTGCCCTAAAGCCAGTCAGTTCAGTTCCTTCTGAATATGTCTCTGTTCCTTTCAAGCTGCTGCCCTAGCACCGGAGCTCAAAGCAAGTGAGTCTGAGTAAGTCCACTTGTGGGTTATTTAAGAGGAGCTGCCTGAGCCTCCAGAAGCCACCAGCTCCCTCAGCCACAATCTCTGCTGGGTCTCACAGCCAGAAGTTACGGGGACTTCTTTTCCGGGCACTGGCACCTTGGGCTGGGAGCTGGGTGTGGGGCTGGGACTTCTTGCTCCGCAGGGAATTCCACAGCCAACAGATTCCTCCCACTTTTGTCTGCTACACGTGGGTGTGGGACCAGCCTGTTCCTTGTCTCTGTTCCTCCTACTAGTCTGGACATGGGTTCTTCTTTTACCCTTAGTTGTAGGCTTCTGTTCAGCTCAACTTCAGGTGGTTCTCAGTCATGGCTGCTCTGTAGTTTAGTTGTCATTTTGATGTAGTTGTGGGAGGAGGTGAGCACAGAATTTATGCACTCCACTATCTTTATTGGGAGTCCTACGCAGATTTTTTTTTTCAGTAAATACTGTCAATGTATTTTCTCAGCCTTATGACTTCCTTAATAACATTTTCTGTTCTTTAGCTTAATTTCCCATAAGAACACAGTACATAATATATATAGTGTACAAAATATGTGTTAATTGATCATTTATGTTGTGGCTTAAGGTTTCTGATCAATAGTACATTATTAGTATAGTTGGTCCTTGAACAATGTGGGGGTTTAGGGGTACTGAACGCCCGTGCAGCTGAAAATCTGTGCATAACTTTTGAGTTCCCAAAACATAATGACTAAGTTTAATTGCCTATAAATTATTCCATCACTTCATGATTTTGTATACAATCTGTGATCTGTGACATGGGATACTAGACCTAGGATAATTTTTAATATACGTTTATGGGGGAAATATGTAACTGTATACAGTTACATTTGAAATATGGGGGATGATCATAGTCCATACTCAGGGTTATCTTGGACAATGAGTGAGTTAATGTAGGTAAGGGCTTAGCACGGTGTTAACAATAGCAGCACCCGACACGTACTAGGATGACCAGGAAAAAGGGCGAAGGGAAATGAGGAGAGGCAGCGGCAGCCCTTCTCGGGCAGCAGGAAGTCTCTGCTGGAAGGTGAGAGGCAGGTGCTCCCGTGAGTCCCCTGCTCTGCGATGCTGTGCCTCCCAGGACAGAATCACTTGCAAGGAGAAGTTCCTGTGGGGCACGAGGGAGGGGCCTGAGTTCTGTTTGTGTGTGTCATTTTTGTTCTTGTATTTTTTATTTAAGAGGCATAGAATTCACAACTGCAGTACCTTCTATTTCTCAAAGTAGCACAACATAGAATATGGATTAAAGTTTTAAGCTGCAGGTGGAACAAACTTTCTAATGCTTCTGGGTCAGGTACAAGGGAGAGTGTGACCTTCTCCACCCTCTAAAGGTGTGACAAGGCAAAAAGGTAAATGTGACATTGTTAGTTAGTCACGGTTACAAGTTCATATTTCCCAAAGGCATTTTTTTAACTTTCCCTGAGTAAAGAGAAAATCTCTTTAAAAATATGTTTATTATGGATGTTGAGAGTGCACGATCAGTAATTGCCACAATTGTCTCTGACATTTTTAGCTTTTAATAAGTGAGAATAGTGTCATTTCTTCAAAGAGGCCGAGCAGTGTGAAGACTACGCTGTGTGTTCACGCGAGCCCGGTTTAATAACTGCGCAGTGGACGCATGCAATCCTCCCAAGAACTCGAGTTTGGCTCTGTAGTCAGACTGAGCAACAGATGCTGATAATAAGCAATGAGCTGTCAGAATGAGGCTATGAGAGGCTCTTGACACAAGGTTTGACCAGAAAGATCCCCCCAAAAGCCCCCAAAAAACTGTTGGGGTTAAGTGGCAGCTGCATGGAAAAATGGCAAAGGGAAAAGAGGCATCTGTGGTTTGTCCCCACAGCCTGAGCCCACTGTTTCCTGTACTTGACGCCGAAGACAAGAACTATTCCAAGCCATGGACAAACCTCTGTCTGAAATGGAGCCGAACATTGTCACTATTCAGAACCCTTTCAGGACACTTCCTAAAATAAAAACTACTGTAAAGTAGCATGCAAAGGATGATATCATTGACACTTCAGTAGCTCTTTATCGACCCCCACGCAAGCCCCAAGGGAGAAACTTCTTTTCAAACCTAGTGGCCTGTGAAGTTTTGTGTCGCTTGAGGGGATGGTATAATTTTCCCTCTAATGATAATAATTCAGTCCATTACTGATTATTTCTTTGTCCCCGCTTTGGCTATCAGAAAGCAGACTTTGGTTCAGCTCTAGCAGGTCCACAGGACCTTATGATCTAACGATTTATGATTCCTTTTCATCCTCTGGTTTTGACTCTCTGCTCTTATTAATTTATTTTACTGAATTTCAAAATTTTTAAAAAATTCTTTTGCTATTATTTTATGATATGTAAGCTGCCTCAGATCCTTCATAAGAGATGATGTGTTTAACTAATTTAATGGTTAAATAGTTTTATAGATATAATTTCAATTAATTATCATAAAACCTGGAGAACTAGACATTAGTATTACTTATATTCTACACACAGGGAAACGAGATTCAAAGATGTAAAAAACTTGCCTGAGATCCAAGTACCACACACAAAACAAGTAGAAAAAAGTTTTCTACTGGTTTAAGTATCTTCAGGTAGGAGTTATTACTGAATTAACAATGGTGTAAATGAGCTAAAAAAAAACACACATATATATATATATATATTTACATTGTAAAAGAAAGGAGTTCAGCTAGTAGGTAATCTTACCAATAATTATACGTGAATGTGAAGTATTAGGCAGTTAGAGGCAGATAAAGAATTTCCTTTGATGAATTTTCTTCCTCGCTCGATCTCTTTTCTTTTAAAGAAGATGTAAGAGTTGGGTAAAATTTAGATGAAAGATTTACTTGAAAGTAGGAGAGTGCATTAGGTGACCTACACGGGATGGAAATGCTTTGGACCACGGCCCTTACTGAGTGCCGACAGCCCACAGGGGAAGGAGCTGGGCTCCGATCCCCTCCTAGGCCTAATCCCAGTGCGCTGGGCCCACTCTGCTCGGGCCTGCCTCTAGGTGTGTTTCCCAGGCAAAGAAGTGTCTGCAAACAGCACCACCCTGGCCTTGGGACACATGTACAAAAACATGACAGTGCCTGTGATCATCACTCATGTAATTTTCCCGCCCTTTCTGTCTGTGTGAACCCCAACGCAGCAGCACTAGGCAGCTGTGCCCCACTGATGGTACAGAAAACCATAGAATAGAAGGGATGGGTCTTCCTGAAGTTCAGATACTAACGTACACGATTCTTTAAGTGACATCACTCATTTGCTATGCCGGTCGATCATGTCTATCTGCTAGCAGTCTCAGCAAAGGTGTAGCATTTCCGCGCAGTTGTTGAAGTACTACTGAATTAAAAATGACTAACGCAAAACTGCAATGACATATCCTCCTGAGGTCAGGCTCAAGTCCAGAGTTTGGAGCATGCAATTCCTTTACTATAAGGGAACAACAGAAGCTTCTGAAAAATTTCCCCTAAGGATATTCAGATCTCTGCAGATCATGGTTGCGTAGCTAAGTCAGGAATGGCTCACCTAGACAGTTCTGCTGTACTTTTGCAAATGTTCACTATTTCTCTACACCTAGGCCTGCTGGATAGAAGTCATGCAAGAGAAACAGGTCTGTTTGTCGGATGCTCAACATGCATTGGACTTGCACTGAGTACATTTCCCTGACATTACTTAGCTAGCAAGTTGCTCAGCAGGGATTTGAACTCCAGGCTGCCTGATTCCAAGAGCCCTGTTCTTGCTCCAACACTGCAGTGTCCACCTTCCTGCCACACAGAGGGCACCGTGTACGCCGGGTCTAAGCACTCCAAAGGTCATGCAGAGGGTACTGACGCCCTGAATCCCAGTGGATTTTATAGCCATCCGATTAGTTTGCTCTGCAGAGCCAGCTCCCTTTAGAACAGCCTCTTGGCCACATGCTGGACAAGCAGAGAACATCCCATGGAGCAGACATTTCTTTTTTTTTTTCCTCACCCGAGGACATTTTTGCATTTATCTTCAGATAGAGCAGGAGGGAGAGAGGGAGGAAGAGAGAGAGAGAGAAACATTGACGTGAGAGAGACATATCGAGTGGTTGCCACCCACACGACCCAACCAGGGCCGGGGACAAACCGCATCTGAGGTACGTGCCCTTAGCGGGAACTGAACCCGAGACTCTCCTGTCCACAGGCCGACGCTCTAACCGCTGAGCCAAAGCGGCCAGGGGGAGCAGACATTTCTTATCTCCACACTCTCTGCATTGGCTCCTTTGACTTGCCTGGTGTGAGGGAGGCTCCTTCAGGTCTTCATCCAGGTGCACGCCAACTCTGTTAAGGAGAACAGAACACTGGTAAGGCCTTGCTGGAGTTAAGACAGAGTTGTGGGCGTCAGATCACCTGAACCACACACTGTACAAAGCAGAGGAAAAACTGTCCTTTTTCTCCGCGAACAGACCTTCGGCGAATGAGCCCCGGATGGCTGGGCCTGCAGGGGCGCCTGAGGTGGAGCCCCAGTTCCCAGGAGGAGCAGGGCCTGAAGACCTGGGTGAGGAGCCTCAAGAAAGTGCCTCTGCCGCCCCCAAACAGGGACCCTGGAGGGAGGGCTGCCTGCTCCCCCCAGGACTCACTGACCAAACTGCTCTGGGAATGTGGGGGCCCAGGCTGGAGCAGGCTCCCCAAGGCCGGAATAATGGATCCTTTGTCCAGAGGCTCATGGAGGCTGCCGGTGGGGGATCCAGGTTTGTGGGACCTGAAGCTTGAGATTTGGGATGGGGGCAGGGAGCTTTATGAAAGTGACTTTAGAAAATAAATGACCAAAAATCACATACTTTTAAAACCTGGCAAATGCAAAAGATATCTCAAAATCCAGGAAATACACCTAATAGTATAATTAGTTTACTTCCAGATGCACCCCTAAAATAAATTTTAGTTAATATAAGTCTGTAAGTTTTGCCTGCATACTTAGGAATTCTCTTTATATGGTGATGATTTTGCGTTAGGGAGGATGGGAAGAGAAGGCAGGCTTCCCGCCGGCCAGACCGACACAAATGACTGGCAGCTGGGAGGCATCACCCCTGCCTGCTCGCATCGCCCGGTGCTGCAGCAGCTGTGTGCCCCCTGCACGCAGCTCAGGCGGCTCTCGGCGCCGTGGGCGGCCCGGCACGTTCCGATTCTGCGCTGTGAAGGGCAGCGGGAGAGACCTTCGCTGCCACGTATTTTGTGATAGGGTTTCCCGCAGACCAGCCTCCGCGTCGGTGCAGCTCAGCCCTTGCTTCTCTGCCGCCTACAGGCTTCGGGGCCAGGAGCTGGGGATGAGCGCGTCTCCGATGCCACCTGGGGCACTGTCCTGGGACTGGGCCTGCAGTGACCCGCTCTGCACAGAAGCAACTGTGGGCCACTCGGTCTTACCCACTGAAGGCAAACTAAGTGGGGTCCCAATTCAGCTGCCCTGAGTGGCCCCGCGGTCCCTCTGCCCACGGCCTCTCCAGGGCCTCTGACCAGAGGAGAGTGACGAGAAAGCTGGAGTGGACGGAAACGGCGCTGAACCCCAGCTGCGGCAGAAACACACTCCTTTGCAGATCTCACAAGAACACGCCAGGGAGCACAATGCTGGCCTCTTCCCGGCCGGTAGAGGGGCCAGGGCCAGTGCAGGGCCCGGGGCTTAAACTTCCTCTGCCTAAGCGCGACCTGCTGGGGGCCGGGTGCGGCAGGTAGGGGCTGTGGGGGGCAGGTAGGGACTGGGGGGCAGAGAAGGATTGTGGGGGGCACGTAAGGATTGTGGGGGGCAGGTAGGGGCTGTGGGGGACAGCGCAGGACCTTAGCTCGCGCAAGCGCACTGGAGCTTTTCCCAGGAGCACGCAATTCCTAGCGCTGCGGAGTCTTTCCTTATACTCCCCACAGACACAGGCCACCTTGCTGTCTGTCCGGGTGGGGGAGGGGGCAGGGTGAGAAGCCCCACAGACACAGGCCACCTTGCTGTCTGTCCGGGTGGGGGAGGGGCAGGGTGAGAAGCCCCACAGACACAGGTCACAGGTCACCTTGCTGTCTGTCCGGGTGGGGGAGGGGCAGGGTGAGAAGCCCCACAGACACAGGCCACCTTGCTGTCTGTCCGGGTGGGGAGGGGCAGGGTGAGAAGCCCCACGACACAGCCACCTTGCTGTCTGTCCGGGTGGGGGAGGGCAGGGTGAGAAGCCCCACAGACACAGGTCACCTTGCTGTCTGTCCGGGTGGGCGAGGGGGCGGGGTGAGAAGCCCCACAGACGCAGGTCACCTGGCTGTCTGTCCGTTGGGGGAGGGGCATGGGTGAGAAGCCCCACAGCCGCAGGTCACCTGCTGTCTGTCCGGGTGGGGGAGGGGGCAGGGTGAGAAGCCCCACAGACGCAGGTCACCTTGCTGTCTGTCCGGGTGGGGGAGGGGCAGGGTGAGAAGCCCCACAGACCAGGTCACCTTGCTGTCTGTCCGGGTGGGGGCGGGGGCAGGGTGAGAAGCCCCACAGACGCAGGTCACCTTGCTGTCTGTCCGGGTGGGCGAGGGGGAGGGGGAGAAGCCCCACAGACACAGGTCACAGGTCACCTTGCTGTCTGTCCGGGTGGGGGAGGGGGCAGGGTGAGAAGCCCCACAGACACAGGCCACCTTGCTGTCTGTCCGGGTGGGGGAGGGGGAGGGTTAGAAGCCCCACAGACACAGGTCACCTTGCTGTCTGTCCGGGTGGGGGTGGGGGCAGGGTTAGAAGCCCCACAGACACAGGTCACCTTGCTGTCTGTCCGGGTGGGGGAGGGGGAAGGTGAGAAGCCCCACAGACACAGGTCACAGGTCACCTTGCTGTCTGTCCGGGTGCGGGAGGGGCAGGGTGAGAAGCCAGCAGGCTCAGGTGGAGGCCTGAGTCAGGGAGAAAACAGCAGCCACTGAGATACCTCTGATTCTTGAAAAAGGACTGTCCTCTGGGTGTGAAGAGCCCCTTCCCTCTGACCCAGGGTGAAGTGAGGAGCTCTTTATTTTATTCCGAACTTTGGCCTTCAGGTACTGGGGAGGGACCCTGGATGTGACTGACCTTGGATCCTGTTGGAGTAGACAGAACTACTTGATCTATTTCATTACAGTTGGAAGGAGAGAGGGAAGGGGAAGGGGAGGGGGTGAGGGAGGAGAAGGGGGAGAAGGAGAGGGGAAGGGGGGCAGAGCAAGGGTAGGAAGGGCAGGGGAAGCAGGGGAGGGTAGTGGAGAGGAGACAGGGAGGACAGAGGGAGGTGGAGGGAGGGGTGAGAGGGCAGCCAATGGAGGAGGCGAGGAAAGGGAAGAAAAAGAGGAAGGGGTAGAGGACAAAGAATGGAGGGAGAGTTGAGTCCAGGCAGTGACCTTGGGGTGCTATTGGTCTGAGTCCAACTCCATGAAGTGTGGCCCAAGCTGCAGGCCCTCCAACGCCCTTTCTCATGGGCTGGTGCATCTCAGCCCTTCTGGTGGATCTGATCTCTCCGGCAGATGCTGGGAGTTTCCAGGAGTCTTTAGTTCTGGGGGAGCCTAGATGCCCTCCCCCTGTACACCCCCACCAGGGCCACCTGGCACCCAGGTGGGCTGCGATTGAGCAGGCTTCTGAAGTGGCCACTGCTGCATCTGTCCAGGGCCTTTTTCTAGCTCTCTGTCCAGAAAGCTGGAGAGAACAGAAATCAAATTTCACAAAGTACCCAACATGTGTAGTTTGAGGGTATATGTACTAAGGTTCACCTCTAAAACGTAAGCTCTCCCCCAGCAGCAAGTAAAGCAGACCTTGGAAGTTTCAGTGATTCCCACAGCCAGGTGGAGCTGAGGAGTGACGCAGGGGATAGTTTTTCAGTTTTATGTGGGACTTGGTGAAAACCATCTCTGCGTGACATGCAAGGACAGCCCCCCCCCCCCCCATTCACTCGGTCAGGGTCTGCTCTGGGCCGGGCCCGGAGCCCTCCTTGCTTGAGGAGAGACATACTCTGTGAAGGTTCCTTTCCTCCGGGGAAGCCGGGCTGAACAGAGACGTGGCCCGCGCCCTCACAGGGCACGCAGTTGGGCACGTGTAACACTGTTATTTAGTGCTGTGCAGCACGGGCACATACGACGAGGCCTCTGTCACTTGTGATTTTAGCTCCTTTTGATAAAAGCTGTGCTAAAATGACTCCCTCGCTCCTTCCCCCTTCGAGTGGACCGGGCCCCTCAGATCTTCCTGGAAGCGTCGGTGTCGCTCTGGCCCCGTGAGGCTGACACCGCTGTGCTGTATGACTTCGGAGAGATACAGGCACTTCTTTATGCCCAAATTAAGTGGCCCCTGGCTACTCCTCTTTTTTTTAATTCTCACCCGAGGACATTTTTGCATTTATCTTCAGATAGAGTGAGAGGGAGAGAGGGGGGAAGAGAGAGAGAGAAACATTGATGTGAGAAAGACACATTGACTGGCTGCCACCCACACAACCCAACCGGGCCAGGACAGACTGCAACCGAGGTACGTGCCCTTTGCGGGAACCGAACCTGGGACTCTCTGGTCCGCGGGCCCATGCTCTAACCGCTGAGCTACCGGCCAGGGCTACTCCTCTTTTTCTTTTGTAAATTCTTTTATCTGCCAGTAGATTGTCTTGTCTTCTGCCTGCGACAGTACAGTCTGCTGAGAGGCTGTCCCTCTGTTCACCCCCCCTTTTTAATGTAGTATGGGGCCGACCACCTGACAGCCAGACGTAATCCACTTCTTCCTTCCAGGCTTACAGTGCACACGCACGCACACGTAAGCAAATAACAGCATCCCAGCAGTGCAGAAGAGCTTACAGTGTGCACAGTGGTTCTCCCCCCGCGCACCCTCCGCCTTTCCTCCACGGGGACACGGGAACCCATCTCGGCATGCCTGGCGCTCACACAGCAGCCCGGGGGCTGAGCAGACAAGCTGCGTCTGAATCTCTCACATCCTGTTCCAGAAGCAAGTCAGAATGTGCAAGCGGCACTCTCGTAGGGCTCACCTGGCATCGTTCACTTCTATGCACAAAGGCCACTTATGCACGATGGGTTCTTGAGAGATGACTCGAGAGAAGACATGGTGCCATCCCAGCTGGGGGTGGCTTGTGTGTGTGTAGCAGCTCCCAGGAGAGGCCACCGGGGTGTGGGATCAAGTTCAGTCTCCTTCGGGGATGCCCCAAACTCTTCAGCATTAAGCGACACTTGGGCTGGTTTAGTCTGAGCACAGTGCTTCAGGGCTGGTCATTGGACCTGTGCTGGCTTCTGAGCCTCAGCCTGATATGGTCTCCGAGTCCTGGCCTTGCTGGGGTCTGCCGGTGCCTCTCCCATCAACTAACCCTCCCTCCAAACTCCAGCTGAACTCT